TGAGACGAACGGGGTAAACCTTACACTTTCTGGGGGCTAAGGAAATGCTTATCTCCCTGAGCGCGGCCTTCACCAAACCATTCCATCACAGTAAGGTTTCCAAAACACAATACTCAAACCAACTATTTTCAGAGAACTACCTGTAGTGTCGGTGCGTGCATCACTCTTCGAAAAGGGGATTCAAACATCATTGAAATACAGGAGCATATGGTAACAATGATCATTACCCAGTCTAGATAAGTAACCAACCCTAGCAAGTCGCTGAAAAATAAAATGGAACAAACTCAGTGGCAGCGGGACCCCAGAATTACAAATATCAGTCAGATGTAAGTTAGACTAGTAACAATAATCTTCCACAATGTTAATAGAAATAATTATACTAGAAAATAAACATTTTTCCAGAGAAATTTAGTTTGGAAAAAAAAGTCTACATAAATATATAAAATACATGTGAACACATAAATTCATTTTTGCTATGCTTACTAAAGTTGATGATATTTTGTGTTTTTAACTGCTCCAGTAACAGGATCTGTTTTAGAGCTGTAACAGAGGAAAGAGATTTTTAGAATTCTGCTGTTCAACTTTTATTATGCAAAGCTGTGTTACAAGACAGACTGCATTTGAACTGAAGAATAAAATTTCTTTTTTAAATAAATAAACAACAACAGCAGAAGCACATTTGGGGTGCTTTTGGGCACTGAACCATTGGGGATTGAACATTTTCATTTATGACCCCACAACCCACAGAAATTTGCTAAAAGTTTCAAATCAGTTTCTTAAATCTAACATTAATCAGATATAGTTTAGACTGGGACTTAATTTTTAAATAAGATGATTGTAGGGGCAAGAAATGTTTTATAAACTTATAGATAAAGGGGCATGTACGTTTATCTCCCATAATTCTAGAACTTGGGTCACTCAATGACACTAATTTGTAATAGGCTTTCATGGATGGGAGGGTTGTCAATACAGTATATGAAATGTCTACTGTATACTATATACGTATGTATGTATGTATAACGCACTGGGAACATATAAGGATGAAGCTAACACTTTAATTAACAGGTCATACTGGCTACACTGGTTGTCCATTAATAGAAGCAGAATTTGGAACTTAACAGATCTGTTCTGAAATATCAAGAAAATTTGTATTGCATTTTATACTTTTAATTCAAATCCAAGTCCCCAACCTGGTGCTGTCCAATATACTGTTTTGGATATCTGGGGGTCGATGTTCCAGTACACCTAGAGGCGACTGGATGGGGGCAGGTATTATATAGCAATTCCAAAGTTTACACTACAGTAAGTTTGCACCATATCACTTCTGTTTAATTTGTCATCACTGTCTCAAAATTATCTTTGTTTTAGGTGAGCATATGCAATTCCTTCCTTCATCAATTTCTTAGGGAGGGCTTTGAAGTCCAGGTACACTGTTTGATGATTGGAAGGCTTTGTGAGTACTGTATATTACAAAATCAGGTCATGTTCTGCTCTATCAGCTGCCACATTTGGAGTCTTGTACAATATTCAAACTGGCTTCAAGGGCTATCTGCACAGAATGTATCATAACATTCTAGTCCCTGAATTCATTTGCAAATCTTGGCATGGAAAGTGAGAGGAGTTTGGACTGGAAATAATGTTGTAATACAAGGAAAAACATTATTTTGTCACTTTATGTAGCAAAAGCAGCCCATACATATATCACAGTTTCTATTTGCACTTCAAAGAGTATGACTTTTGGAAAACAAGACAAAAAAATAAAAACAAGAAACATTTGCCAATTATGGAATTGCTGGGTATGTTCAAAAGTCTCAGAGTAGGTACTGATGTTATTTTGCAGAAGCTTTTTAATGACAGAATATACTGAATCAAAACAACACACCGTCATAAACTACATATATACTTACGCATTAAAGCGAGCTCTAACAACAACTCGGCAGAAATTCCTAAATCGGTGTTCCCGACCGACTATGAAAAGAGGCTTGTCAAAATAGGGGTGATTCTCCCGCAACTCCTCTTCCTGAACTTTTCTTTCAAGAACAATATGATTACAGAGATAGCAGTCAATATATACATTTTTTTCATTTTCTTTTGGATAGCAGCAATATCACAACTGCGGTACAATTGAGACAGTGTTAAATGTGGGCTTTAGAAAGCCTCTGTTCAGCTAAGATGATTATTCAATGGTTATTATTAATTAGCCCTACTTGCAAGTCAGATGATCAGGTCCAGAGAATAAAATAAAAAATAATAAAATAAAATAATTATTTTATTACACGCAAGACCCAGAGGGTGGACCTGCAAGAATTTAGGGCGTAAGTTCTCTTTCTATGAGAAAGTTTCACAGAATTGTTGAGAGGCTGAAGTTGTTCCACACTGAAAGGGCCACCTTGAAGGAACTATATCGTGCAAACAGTTCTGAACTTGTAAGTACAAACTCTTCCTAGGTCAGCATCTGCTCATATTTTAAATAAAAAATTACAGTTTATATCTGTGGCCTCCTTTTGGGACTGATACTGCATATATCCATTTGTGATTCTCTCTGAGGTACAAAACATTAAAAGTGATCCCCAGGATTTTTCTTTCATCATCAAGAACAGATCAATATTTGATTGATCAGTCAAAATATAAATATGATTATTAAATCAATCTACTTAGAGAAGTATTATTGATCATATCTTCAATGGTAGTCCCATGCTTTTCAGCTTTAGAATAGAAATTATTGTTTGCTATTAGTCGACACTGCAATTGTTGTTATTTTTTAACTGTTTACTTTTCACTGCTTTTAAAAATATTGAAAGTTTTATTATGCTGCTATCAGAAAATATTTTTAGATTGTTGTTTTGTAGATTTTAAGTTACTTTGGACACATTATGTGAAAATCTAGCTCTCTGGAGAACCTTATAATGCTAGAAAAGGTGAAAGGAAAGAAGAAGACCAGCTATATGGAGTCAATAGAAGAGAATATATGTGGCTCAGGATTGAACTGTGGAGTGCTTGGTGCTCTCTGAGCTTGGTTATTTGCTTGCAAATGTTTCATTACCCAACTAGGTAACATCATATGCTAGTGGGGGGGAGTGTGGGGGAACGCTTCCACTGATGATGTTACCTAGTTGGGTAATGAAACGTCTGCAAGCAAACAACCAAACTCAGAGAGCACCAAGGACTCCATATATGGGCTCAATTGCAGTGGTGATGGGTGCACCATTGAAAGACCTGAAGGATCAGGTTGGTTCTGGAGACAATCTATCAGTGTGGTCACTAAGAGTTGATACCAACTTGATGGCACATAATCAATCAAAAAACATTTATCTTTTAATATATTGTGAAGTACATTGGAAAACTTCTGGAAAAGCAGCTATAAATATAGAAAAAAATTCAAGCAAACCCTTGTTTTATTTAATTATTTATTTGCTTGCTTAGTTACTTACTGAGGGTTTTATGCCATACAGTTCCAATAGACTCTGAATGGCTTTCAAACCATCAAAACATTGGGTTAAAAATATAAATCAGACAGGAATCTTCTAACTAATAACTAATGAATGTGCCACTTTTGAAGGCAGAGTAATTCTTCATGTTCCAAATGCTTTCCTAAAGAACCATATCTTTATGGCATTTTGGAAACCCAATAAAATGCAGAAAGGCCCAAATATCTGAGGGTAAGTTGTTCCATAGAAAGGGGGCCATCAACGAAAACGTGACCCTGGGACCTTGGAGTTGACATTCTCTCATAGATGGAAGCCTCAGGAACTTTCTTTTCCCTAAGTCACCAGATGGGCTGATTAAATCAGGAGAAAGCAATCTCACAGATATCAATGCACTGACCAAATGTAGGCCTTTAAAGGTGGCAACAGCACCTTGAGTTGCATCTGGAAACTAACTGGGCAGCTTCATGCTGAACCAACTGTCGCTCCTAAATTGTCTTCAAGTGCTGCCTCATGTACACATTGCAGCAGTCCAGCCACAAGGTGACAAAGGAATTAATGACTGTACACAAAGCTTTCCAATCCAGAAATGACTGTAATTGATGCACAAGATATAATTGCACAATGGATGTCATGTTCCAGCAGGAGCCTTGAATCCAGAAGAACCACAGAGATGTGAGCCAACTCCATAGAGGAGAGTGCAACTTCAGAATTAAAGATAGAATATTTCAGCATTCAATAGGACTTGGAACCAACAGCCTCTCCATCCACCCTGTTTTTTTCCCATTCAGACTCTTACAGCTTTCAGCCACCAGTTCAGAATCAAATCACGTCACTTTTTTGCTTGAGGTGGAGATGTACAATGGAGTATTATTCATGTATTTGTGATACCTCCACCCTGTGCTGACAGATGACCTTTCCCAGTGGCTTCATGTAGACCTTAAACATTAGGGAGGAAAAGGCTGACCCCTACAGCTCTCTACATCAGAGCTCTTGTGGAGTTGACCTATTCCCTGATCATTGACTGCAACCAATCCCTCAGGAAGGAGGAAACACAGTAAGACAGTGTTCCTCGCTCCCAACTTTCACAGATGATCCAGTGGGTTACCATACTCAATAGAACTGAAGGATGTTGAGAGATCCAGCAGGACCGGAAAAGTTGCACTCCCCCATCGCGGTCCCGCTACAGATCATCTGCTAGAATGAGCAATGCAGCTTCCATCTTATACCCAGACCTGAATCCTGACCAACAAGCATCCAGATAATCTCCAAGGTTTTCCACTGCCTAACTATTCCACAACCTTCCCAAAAAGAAGGTTGGAGCCTGGATGATAATTCCCTAAAACAGTTATACAGTATACTGTATACCACTGACTGTTATGAAGGCAAGAATTGTCTTAGAAGATGGATGCCCAGCAAAGAATGCCTCTTTTAAAATGATGCTGGTGTTTGACATCTGTGCATATTATATACAAAGAAAATATGCTTGCTTTTACTCATAAGCAATTTATGCAGATTCGATCAATCTGTTAACTGAATAACCAGTTAAAATTCACCTGAGTAATGTTTGTCTAACTGAGGTTCAGTTCAGTCCTTTTTTTGTATAATTTTATTAAAGATTTTTACAAGAGAAACAAAAACTAATACGAACTAATATAAAGTGAGAGAAAGAAAGGAAGAAGAAAGAAACCAAAGAGAAAGCTAAAAGTGCAAAAGAGGGAAACAAAGTAAAAGAAACATAGAAAAGAAAGAAAAAAGATACAAAGAAGTAGCTTTTGCTATTCTTCACAGCAGTTATAAGTACAGTCATAAATTTACCTCTTATTGTATGGTTACAACATAGCTCTCTTCTTTCTATAATCTATTCTACCTAATCATCAAAACCATAAATCACAAGTTGACTTTTTCAGTTTCACGCAGAGTCTACAAGGGGTTTCCAGCCAGCAGTTCAGTCCTATATACTGTCGTAAAAATTACATTTAGAATACCTTTTCATTTCTGCTTGTTCTTTCTTTTCTTGGATCATTTTTATTTCACTGTCTTCCCTTTGTGCATTTCTGTACCTTACTGTATTAGAATGCTGAAAGAAAAAAAAATGCTTTTTCAAAAAAAATATGTTTTCTATTTTTTACTGTAAAAATTAGCAGCATGCAATTGCACTGAACTTTTAAAAGTGAGAGAAAAAGAAATATTTTAATCTAGATTGGGAGAAAATAATAACTAGCAATAATTATGACCAGCTACTGTTAACTGTTTTCTCCTCCATTCCACATATTAATTACTACCAAGGATATAAAAGGAACAGTACAATAACTATATGGCACTGACTTGACAGAAACAAGCCATACCCATTCTGAATATTACAGAGGCTGAAGGCTTAGTTGGGCTAGTAAAAATGTACAGCAGGGCCTTGCAGAGAAATCATTGAAAAGGTAAGAAGCAGGACAGAGATTTTGATAACGTTTCCAATTGCACAGCATCAGGCTGTTTTATCCATGTCCCAAATATATTGTTTAATAGCTTATTTAATCTAAATACACCATAAATGCCATAAATGATGGTAAGAAGCCATATACCCTTAATTTTGTTTCCTTAGCGTTGATTCACTTGGAAGGATGTTGATCACCTAAGGTTAAGGGGACAATATAACCACTTTAGCCAGGGCAAGTCTACTTTGTGAGAATTGGGGTTCTAGGGAAATAAGGCTGGTTTCAGTATGGAACAGCATTTGGGACACAACAGAGAGTCCCAAAGATCACACTCAGAAACTTGCATTGTGTTTTCTCAAAATGTAGAAATCTTTCTAGGCACAGGACTTTGCACCATACAGAAGTTGCATAACTGTTTTGTCCTGAAATACCCAAAGGGTTGAAGGTATGAATTTGCCTCCAGTTAGATAGAGGAAACTTAGAATTGAAGATAATGACCTAGGCTATTTTCTGTAACCTGAAGGATCTGAGCTTTCCATGAGCCTGTGTCTTGAAATATTATGCCCAGACATTTGTACTATATCATTTGTTCTATAGCATGGTCCCTAGTCTCCCATTTACAATTAATACTTTTTTTGATAGGACCGTAACTTCAGTTTTGATATAATTTATGATATATCTTTCTTCCTTACAATAAGTTGTGAGGAACTATAACGCTCATCTCAATCCCATCACTAAGAAGGAAAGAGTAAGCAATATCATCTCCATAAAGCAAGATAGGGATTTGTCTATTGGCCAAACATGATGTCTGTATGTATATTATGTGTAATTTTGCTAATGAGGAACAGCTGTCATCTGTACTCCAGGAAAGATGTGATAGATGATTGTGAATTCTGACCCAGCTAGAGATGTCTTTTATCCCAAATCATAATTCCCAGGAACAATTTACTTTGCTCATTTCTGAACTGAGATTCAGTAACTAATTGTTAGCATTATCTCCATGAAAGTGGGGGAGGGGGGGGGAAGAGAAAGAGAGAGAGATAGAGAAGACTGTTAAATATCTTAGGAAAGTTGAACACCCAGAAATAGTTACCTGAGAGTAAGTCTCACTAAAACCTTACAATATTTTATTTGTTGTCTTTTTTCCCTATAATGTTCAGTTTTACAACCAAACAGACCCATATTTAACCATATATTTTGTGTAATTTGAATTTACTCTGAATGCTGTTTTTGTACCTGAAAGGATCATTTCACAAAAGAATGCACTCAGATGGAACACCAGTATTACAGGGCTTCTTAAAATCTTTGTTATAATATCCAAGATATGTTAAATTCCATTCTGTTTTTAGTTTTATTTAGATATTACTTAGACTATTCCCTTAAACTTACATCTTGAGTTAATGTTTCAAGAGATTTTCCTCTGCTGATTCGCTGACTGTTGGAGCCGTGCCTTAGTGACCTGAAATAATCACATTCATTTAGTGAAAAACTGAGATCACTGAGTGTGCATCAGTGGAACAACAGAGAGGGCTTTCAAATTACGGGTTAGGTTCTGCATGACACCAAGCTCTCAGCTGCATCTTGTTTTCTACAACTGGTGATTTCCACATGTTTTGGATAACACTTCCCACACTGGCTGGGAATCACGACAACTGAAGTTCAACATATCTTGAAGGTGCTAAATTAGGGAAGTATGAAATAGAACTTGCAGATGCAGGACTCCTAGTGGTACTAATCAAAAGAGCTGATGGGGCGGTTCATTCTTTTCTCTTTAATGGATTTTCTCAAGAGAGAGAATTGATTTAAAAAGTGATGTGAAAAGTAGAAAGGTTAACTAAAAAAGTACACCACTGAAATAATCTATAAATCTGCAAGGGCAGTTGAACAACAAATGTCATGACTAGATCACCCTGTTTCCAGAATTTTTTCCTGACTCTTTACAACCATGGCTTGGATATCATGAAAACAATTACATTTAAAATATAGGAGTCTTTTATTATGTTGAATGTCATTGCTATAAAAATACAGAGATTATTTATTATGAACATATTCTAATTTATTAATGTTTGCTACATAACATGAGAATTTTATATTCCACTTTTAACATATTCTTAAAAGTTTTTCTTGAGCTCTGTTTACCTGCGTTCTTGGCGTATATGATGCTGGACACTAAGAATAGATCTTTCTTTTGCAGGCTGTCCCTCAAAGGATCCACTAAGCATACGCTGACGAGTACAGGCTCTAGATAAACAGATAGCATGATAAGTAATAATTAGGGATATATAGAGCACTTCAGGAATAACTCAGAAAAAGCTTTTCAGAGCTTGAATGCAGCACTGGTATGCAACTTTTTGAAGGACCCACATAACTTCCTGGGATCATGGAAATGACACAACTGCTTTAAAGAGTTGCAGACTTACATCCATACGCTGTCATGCTCCAAAGCATTGTTTTGAAATTGAACCTGAAACTTGCACAGCCCTTGTACAGTAGTTAAAAAAATCTTGTAAGTAACTAGATAATTCAAGATAAAATTGATTAAATATATAAATGTGTGTGTGTGTGTGTGTGTGTGTGTGTGTGTGTATTCCAGGGCTATGAAGGTTCAGGAGGAAACTGGACAGAGAGGTTTCAAGTTAGAGGAAGCTGGGGTAGACTGATTAGCCATTAAACCATCTTCTGCTCAAGCCTACAAATTCTCACTGCTCCATAACTATTATAGAGAGAGAAACAGTATCCTAGTTTGAATAATGGCTGCAGAGCTGGGGAAGAATGTGGTTTCTCTGGAATCTAATGCCATTTCTATTTATATCATGTGCTAAATCAATTTCAGTTAAAAGTATTATTTTTCCAAATATATTTAATTTCTTAAGATTTATTTCTACTAGTTCTTACTAACATATTTGCAAATATTTTATATATAAGTAAGGTTATGTAAAGTATAAATACAAGTAAGGTTAAAATTAAAAAGACCTTATTTAGAATCATACTGTAATGCTTTGACAATAAGCTAATGAGCCTAAGTAACATCCCTAGATATCTGAAACAATGAAGCCATTGGACTATAAGATAGTACATTATGTCTTACTGTTAATATGTAGGCAAGAAATATTATTCCATTTCAAAGAATATATTTAAGAATAGCTGTATGGCTGTAAAAATATTTTAAAAACTGTTAAAATTCCAACAAGACAAAAGTTTATTTGCCCAAACATTGTGCTTCTATAATTAAATGTATTTAGCAGCATACAGCAACTGAAAAAAGAACTCATACACAGGGAGTGCTGCCAATACCGCAAAATCGTTAAAAGAGCCTTTCTTTCTTTCTTTCTTTCTTTCTTTCTTTCTTTCTTTCTTTCTTTCTTTCTTTCTTTCTTTCTTTCTTTCTTTCTTTTTCTTTCTTTCTTTTAAAAAAGAGATGTTGTGATCTGTTTAATTTTCAAAAAAGTCACAAATTATTCCAACACTATAATGAAATTGGTTTTTTTATGTAGATTAGAATTTTGAAATTTCAAGAACTCTAGGCCAAGTTCCAATCTTCCTCAATTTTTTTCTGGCCATGCACACCTTTTCCAGGGTAGAAAGGAAAGAAGAACTGTGATCTAGAGAACTTCTGCCTACCTGGTCTGCAATTCTATACTGCATCTTTGAATATAGCAGGGTGGGCAACCATGGCCCATAAATGGCTTGTAGCCTCCAAGAAGTCTATTTGTGTCCCCTGGTACCCTGAGATCACACAGGTTAATTTTTTTGAGTTTACCTTTCCCCCAATAAAGATGGGAATGGGAGAGGGGGGTCTCCAAAACTCTTAAAAAGTTAGCCCGAAGTACTTCATTTGGGGCCATTTTGCAGGTGTTTAAGGGGAAAGATAGAAGTATTGTGCCTCCCAAAGGCCTCCTGCTTCTATTCTATGGAAATATTCAATCTTGTTCTCCCTGGTGAAATCATTGGGTCAACAGATAGTATCATGCAGCCCTCAAGAGGACAGGAGACAGCATTGTTGTACCAGAACCCTCAAACATTGTCCATCTAAGGGATGGAAGGGTTTGAATAATAACGAATTCAATTTTTCAAGATTGGATGGAAAGGGGTAGGTCAAGAATTATTAACTAAATAGGCTGTCAATAAGTCCTACCACTAAAATGACAACCTTCTGCATTCATCTTACTTTTTGCTTTAGGCTTAGCCATTGTGTGGAATTTGGACCCCAAGTTGTGATCCGTGATGCAGGGTTTGCATTGCTTCATTTTGTGTGTGAGAGAATATATAGATTCAGGTATGAGTAGATACTACGGCAAAGACATTGTTTCACAGTAACCTTCTACACAGATTAGAAAAAATATTGTTTTCCAAATAATTTTAATTGTTTTATGCAGAAAGGGGGAGGGAAGAGAGAATTGGACTGGGTAAAATGATTCAAATGTATTCATTATTTGGAAGATGAAGTCTACTCATAATGAAAGGAGCCTCAAATCACTCGTTAATACCTAAGAATTTTATTGATTGCAGTCTCCTTCTCCAGAAGATTTCTTGCCCTAATGCTGAAAACAGATTTGCGAAGCTGTAAAAGAAAAGGAAAGCAATTTTATTGACTGTCTTAGTAGTTACAGTATGTTGTTTACAACCTTAACCTGTTGAAATCAAACTCAAGCAGACCAACTCTGTTATGGTGAACTGAGTTTTTTGTTTTGTTTTGAATTTGCACCTCCTCTGAAAGATTTCTTCATGACTTGGGACCAATAATTTTAGGGTAATATTTTTACCAAAATATACCAGCATACTATGATTACCGTTAGGCAGGAAATAAATCCCATATATAAATAAGTACAATTATTCATGGCTAGCTATAGATTATCCAGATTGTTTTAAGATGCGTATGACAAATCGGTAAGATTTCTCCCTTAAAGATCAGGAGGATAATTCTGAAAGTAGAAAATGAAATTTGGCATCAGAATCTTCCTCTTGCCTCCAGTCTCTGTAGTCAATGATTATGAAATCTCAACACTGCAAAGTCCCAGCAGTAGGGGTTTGGCAGGGTTGTAGAAATTTTATATCTGAAGAATTCAGAGCCTTCTTATCTCCCACCATGCCCCTCAGTAAGAAGGAGGACTCTGACATCTACTATGCTGGTCTGCTGCTTGCATGATGCTGGAGTTCTCCGATGGAGCTTTTCCTGTGGAATTAAATTTGCAGACTCCTTTGAAATAAAAATTCCATCAAGTTTATATGCATACTGGTTATAAAATACATAGTTTTTATTCTATTTTATTGTATTTTACATTGTTTTTATTGTATTTTAATATTTATTGCTGTTTTATTGTGAACCACCCAGAGTCACTT